ACGATGCTCATCGCGGACTTCCGGCCACTTCCGGCTCCACACAACGGCCCCCGCCGCATTGGCCATCACGAAGTCGGAATGATCTCACGCATACGATTTTTCGCGCTCCTTTTGAAAAGAGACAGTAAGAAGACATAGTCTCATAACAAAACCACTGAACTGTACAGTGGCCCCCCACCTAACAGACCTCCCGTGTAAGGGATTTTCGCCAAACAGACCAGCTCTGCAAGCAGCTTTTCCTCCTGCCCAACAGACAAAATCCGCCAAACAGACTTATTTTGGTTTAAAATTAGTGTTGAAAATTAATTTTTTAATTTTTTATGTAATTGAATTTGTGTAAAGGACTTTTTGTCTAACAGACTCGTCTCTTGCACGAATCAAGTCCGTTAGACGGGGGTTGACTGTATTACAGTCAAACCTCTACAAGTCAAATTTCAAGGGACCAGCAAAACATTTTGATTTGAGGAAATAAGCATTTTTTTGTCGTTGGAAAAATATAAAAATGGCAAGAAATTGTCGATAAAAACATTCACTGGGCCTTAAATGCTTCTTGAATGAGTTGACAGGATGCTGAACTGGAGGCAAGGGTTCATTTGTCGAATTATTGTAGTAATTCACTTCCTTTCAAAACACACAAAGTTACAATTTAAATTGCGTTTCTCTTACCCGTGTCACGAAATAAAGGAGTTCAGTTGGGAACAAAAAAAAATTGACTTCAGAAGGTATTTGACCTATATAGGGACATTCAAGTTATTGATGTTCAACTGTAGTACTGTAATTTACATTCCGAAATATTTTTATTTTAAGGGTTTTCTGAGATTCGAAACATGATTTTTCTTGAAGATGGTTTGTCAAGAATTTGGTACGTTCCTTCATTTCGGAATATGTAAGGAAACAGAATACTTTCTACAGAAATATGTCTGAACTCATTTTTTCCTCCCTCTGTATATGGGTCTCCATGATCGATACTCAAAAGAACCGGAAACTTAAGACGCATATTATGGCTTTTAAAAATAGCATCCCTAAATTCTACCACAAAAAAAAAATTACTTTTGAGTATATTGCGCAGCATTATTGATCTCATGTGAGTGAGCATCTCACACAGTTCATCGAACACTTTTAGGCTTGGAAAACGAATTTTTCACATTTTTATAGGTTCAGCAATTTATAGTCAATTTTCAACATGGTTCCCTCAAACAAACCTATGTTTACTTGGTGAAAATTAAGAGAACGGCGTCCATAATCTCAATGATTCCTGATTGAAAATGTGGCAAATCCTTCATCCGAAGATGTGACCGACACAGTCATTCATATACAATTTGGAAAGAAGAATTACCTTTGAGCTCATTATACATGCTTTTCTGGATTTTCATGCCTGTTTGTTGACAGCATTCTCATTTTATGCATTTACCTACGTCGCATTTGCTATTTTCGCTTTAAGTGCAAAGGAGTTGCAGAAATTTTTCTAGCTTGATTATAGAAACTGTGTTTTTTCTAAAATGCTCATAATACGCATATGACCGATAAAATAAAAACACGATTTGTGGGTGTTCACCGCAGAAGAAGATATAATGAGCTCTATTCTAGCATTTTTAAAAGGCTGTTTGAGCCGGGATACATTTCAAAATTCTTATGATATTGACTCAACTCTTGCTAGTTTATATCTGGTTTAATTGAGCTGCTAAAACCGTACGTCATCAATCAAAACAAATCAGTTCACGACTTCTTCTTTCTTTGAAAACACGGCAATAAGTTCCCGCCATTGCTTAGAGGTGTTCACTATTTTATTGATCGTAATTCCGAGACCTATGTGCGAAATGAATCCATCACTTAGCCAGATTGTCGTGAAAGGAATAATCTAGTTTAATTTTCTTCGCCGAAATTTCGGATCTCTTTCGAAAATTTGTCAGAAGTGATGATGGCAACTCTGAAGAAGAATATATTTCCCTCCGAGATTCCTCGCATAATGCTCATAAATGTTCGGAAGGCAGGAATAAGTCTTCAGTGTATCTCCCACCTCATACCATTTTTGACAAGTAGTGATACAGTGGTGCCTCGCAATTTGTCATAATCCATCACCCAGCAGACGTAAAATTAAAAGAGACACAAATTACATGATGGAGCTTCCAGAAAATATTGGGACAGCGGCCAAAAAAAAATATTATCAAAGGAGAATTGACTCAGAACCATTTTTGAATCTCTCATTGATATTGTGCAGTCAAACCTTTCGAAAAATTAATCTTGGGGAGTTATTGAGTTTCGCAAGCCCGCATTTATGCAGGGAAAGATTTCAGGAATAACGGAAAATGTGTGATATTCTAGGACTCAAACTGCAGAATAAATGAGTTAACAAGAGATGCAGAATACATTTCTCAAATTTGTCACTGACTTATTTTTGCAAAAGCATCAAGACATAATTTTAATGCTCTTATTCTCCTTCCTGGGTCCCCAGAAAAATAACCTGAATTTCTCCAGAAATTTGGGCTTATTATAGAGGTTTGAGAGGGACATTTTTTGAGTTCACGAGGTCTATATTACACTGTTTCATCAAGGAAATTCCGACAGAAGGGCTAAACAAAATTTTCAACATAAAAAGCTTTTTTTATCCTTCGAGAGATTTGAGTTAGTACTTTTTCGAGGATTTTTGGACATAACTTTCTCGAGATCCGGTCCTTATAGAAGCAATGCTAAAAAACTGCAATCCACACATTGATGAAGAGGAAATCACCTGAAAACCCTGTTTTTGATTAATTTTTCGGTAGACTTCATGTATTTAATGTACAGTATTACAAAAATCGAATTCAATAATTATGGTTGAATGACAATTTTTGACTGACGCCACAACGTGTTATTCTGAAAATTTGACTGGAATTTCTTGCATTCGCTTTTCGCATGGAAACAGAGTCTTCCTGACAAAGTAATAAGTTAGGAAATGGGCATGTATTTGTTCATATCATACTCTGTATTCTCTGTGTTACGTCACAACACTTTGTTTCGTCGAACTACATGATCATAGAAGTAGTCACTTCCGTGCTTTTGAATAATGAGGGCATCCGGTTCTTTCTTCCCAAAACATGCGACGACAATAACTGGGTTGCTAACGATTAAAACTCTACAAAAACACTCATTGCACAGGAAGAACTTCCGTTCGGTGCCTTTGCACTTCCTTAAGTTACTACCCTTGACGGCCTTCGTGTCGGGTTCCTTTTGGGCGGTAGTGCAAAAGATTAATGCCACCCTTGAGCCCAAATACACCAACGAAAACGTGATCGACTTTATTTTCTGTTCGCTAAATTCTGGGATGCGAATACGAGAGGCACGGATTGATTTGGTTTAGGTCAGTATGCGGATTTAGTTTGTATATTTACGCGTTAAATTCAAAAGACGCGGAAAGGAGATATTTCAACCTACACCTGCTGGCAAATATATTTGTTGAGATGCTTCGTCTCGGATATTTTGCCTCAACGAAAGCCATAATTTAAAAGAAAATCTATGCATAAATAATTAATCATTCGTATTATATGCATATACAGAAAAATGATTGATTCGCTTTTCACCATCATCCAGAAAATTGGTCTTCGTTTTAATTTTTGATGAGATCAAAAAGCAGCAATTGAAAGACGCCAATTTCCCAATGTATCACATACCGGTCATTTCAACAATATAAAATATCTTCACTTCGGGTATCGCTCTCAGAATTGATTTCCAAATCAACATACAACATTGGAATCATTTTTGAATATAAAAAGCGAATCAAAAACGTGAAGCATATCATAATTAATTGATTCTGAAATGAACTAAAAGTCATTAATGAGCCCTCGCAATACTTTCTGAAACTGCAATGAATATAAAATATTCACGAAACGAACTCTTCACAAAAATTGATCTATCCAATCACTTTAAAACAGTGTTCTCAAACCCTTGGTCCGCGGACCGACGCCGGACCGCAAAAAAATTTTGCAGGTCCGTGGAACATTTTCTGCAGCATAATAAATTTATTATAAGTAGCCATGAAGTCTCTTACCTAGATCCAAAATTTTATGAGGACAATCGCGGAGTGGAAATTATCGGATGAAAAAAATACAAGTTGGCTTTTCTCCTATATAACAATTCAGGTAAATTTTCGCATGGTGAAATGATTTTTTTCCATCCTGATGAGAAACCTTTCTTCAAGCCCACCATTTTGGAAGACATTTCCTATATATAGCTCGTTCTTCGGTGTTTGATTAAAAAAGAACAGAAACTTTTCAAATATCAGCCTCTAATAAGCAAACTTTGTTTTATGCATGATCCGCAGAAAATTTTAAGGAATTTGCCTGACCGTGAATTTTATTTTTTTATTTTTTGCTGTTCCGCGGTCCCAAAAATGTTGAGGAACACTGTTCTGAAACATTCTTTCTGACAAATAACACAGACATTTGGCGACATTTAAATAAAAATATTTCCTCTCCAATGTTTCCACTTATACATTCCATTTTTTTTTTGCTGGTGTTTCCAAAAGCATTAGAGCATTCCATTTTCCATAAAACATTACCTCAAACATCCGAAATGTTCATTACGCTTTTCACACTTGAATCACTCAGTTAATTCAATTTGAAAATACTGTGAAACATGAACCTAAAAAAGCCCTTTAAAAAATGCCCGAGAAACGGTCTTATTTTGTACAAAATAGTAAAACAATATATTCAGCACTTCCATTCAGTATGTTCTCTCACTGAAAGAACGTTTTTGTTGGATTCATAAAAAAATAAGCAGTTGGTTCATTCGCTATTTTATTCCCTGGTCAATGATTATTTGCTCCAGGAACTAGCTGAGACCGTAAACCGAGGTACCAAACAGCCATATAAAAAACCACGAGGGTGACGACAAATGGGAACCATCTAATGGCGGTGCTGTATGTATGTGTGTGTGTGTGTGTGTGGGTGTTCCTTGGATGATCACCACATCGCAGTTTTCTTTTTTTCTATTTTGCAGAATGACTGCATGCATATAGCGGGGTTATTCTACACCAGGGGCTATGGCTATTCTCCAAACCTGGGTCCCCAGAAAAATAACCTGAATTTCTCCAGAAATTTGGGCTTATTATAGAGGTTTGAGAGGGACATTTTTTGAGTTCACGAGGTCTATATTACACTGTTTCATCAAGGAAATTCCGACAGAAGGGCTAAACAAAATTTTCAACATAAAAAGCTTTTTTTTTTGCTTCGAGAGATTTGAGTTAGCACCTTTTCGAGGATTTTTGGACATAACTTTCTCGAGATCCGGTCCTTATAGAAGCAATGCTAAAAAACTGCAATCCACACATTGATGAAGAGAAAATCACCTGAAAACCTTGTTTTTGATTAATTTTTCGGTAGACTTCATGTATTTAATGTACAGTATTACAAAAATCGAATTCAATATTTATGGTTGAATGACAATTTTTGACTGACGCCACAACGTGTTATTCTGAAAATTTGACTGGAATTTCTTGCATTCGCTTTTCGCATGGAAACTGTTTCATTATTCAATCCTTTACCCGTACATAAACAAGTATAGTATGAGACATAAGAGACACAATGCAGTGTTGTGAAACAAAGCAGCTTGATGTACTAGTATCTTCATCAGTGAAGGCACGAAATGAATAATGAGGGCATCCGGTTCTTTCTTCCCAAAACATGCGACGACAATAACTGGGTTGCTAACGATTAAAACTCTACAAAAACACTCATTGCACAGGAAGAACTTCCGTTGCCACGGAAACGTGAAGGAATTCAATGATGGGAACTGCCGGAAGCACAGCCCAAGGAAAACCCGCCATCACGTTTTCTAATTACGGTGGGAACTCGGGTTTATGTGGTTGCTTTTGCACTAGCTGAAATTTTCCTGTTTGCTGGATTCTGGGATGCGAATACGAGAGGCACGGATTGATTTGGTTTAGGTCAGTATGCAGATTTAGTTTGTACATATATTTAAGGGTTAAATTCAAAAGACGCGGAAATGAGATATTTCAACCAACACCTGCTGGCAAATATATTTGTTGATGCTTCGTCTCGGATATTCTGCCTCAACAAAAGCCATTATTTAAAAGAAAATCCATGTACAACTATGAATAATTAATCATTCGTATTATATGCCTATATGCAGAAAAGTGATTGACTCGCTTTCCACCATCATCCAGAATATTGGTCTTTGTTGAGATCAAAAAGCAGCAAATGAAAGACGCCAATTTCCCAATTTATCACATCCCGGTCATTTCAAAAACATAAATTGTCTTCACTTCGGGTATCACTCCCAGAATTAATTTCCAAATCAAATTACAACATTGGATTCATTCTTGAATATAAAAAGCGAAACAAAAACGCGATGCATCATAATTAAATTGATTTTGAAATGAACTTAAGTCATTAATGAGCCCTCGCAATAAATTGCTGTTCCGCGGTCCCAAAAATGTTGAGGAACACTACTCTGAAACATTCTTTCTAACAAATAACGCAGAAATTTGGCGAAATTTAAAGAAAAATATTTCCTGTCCAATGTTTTCACTTTTACATTCCATCTTTTTCTGCTGGTGTTTCCAAAAGACCACAAAACATAACCTCAAAAATGCAAAATGTTCATGACTTAAATACTTCAATGACACTTCAATTACTCAGTTAATTCAATTTGAAAATACTGTGAAACGTGATCCTCAAAAAACCTTTTTTTTTAATGCCAGAAGAAATGGTCTTATTTTGTACAAAATAGTAAAACAATATATTCAGCACTTCCATTCAGTATATGTTCTCTCACTGAAAGAGCGTTTTTGTTGGATTCATAAAAAAATAAGCAGTTGGTTCATTCGCTATTTTATTCCCTGGTCAATGATTATTTGCTCCAGGAACTAACTGAGACCGTAAACCGAGGTACCAAACAGCCATATAAAAAACCACGAGGCTGACGACAAATGGGAACCATCTAATGGCGGTGCTGTATGTATGTGTGTGTGTGTGTGGGTGTTCCTTGGATGATCACCACATCGCAGTTTTCTTTTTTTCTATTTTGCAGAATGACTGCATGCATATAGCGGGGTTATTCTACACCAGGGGCTATGGCTATTCTCCAAGTGTAATCAGCGGCATTGCCATTCGACACGGAATGCGACCATCTGGTGCTCAGTATTATGCCCACGTCGTACCAAAAGTTGGCTAATCCATTATCAACCCTTTCAGAACGCATGTCTTGACCATGTATAGTTCGCCGAAATGAAACTCGAGCAACACTCATTTTGATCATTTTGAGAAATATTTTATAGGGAAAACAAATGAAGTCCTTTGTGAAAGACCAAAAAAATTTTCTCAATTTTTTTCTGAGGTACAGAGAAATATTGTTGCGTATTTAAAATGTTTCGTTCTTTCTCCTCTCACAAAACCCTCGCTCACGTAAAGGACTTGAGCCTTGATTCGCATTAGTTCATTCACACAAAAATGTTGCAAAATATTGAAACGTATCAAAATTATTATCAAAGAGCCATTACGGTAATATACGGTAACCAGATTTGAAATAACACACGTGTTTTCCATTGTTTTTATGCTGAATAAACTTGAGGTTCAGACGATTAAGGCAGAGTATTTTGTTTTGTTTTTGTTTTTACCCCGAGGGCACGTACCATTGGGACACAAAAAACAACCTCCTATGAGTAATAATATCACTGGAATCGTGTTTTCTCTATTTTCCTTCCGTCGAATAACAAACAAAGTTGACGAAAAATAGTCAGGAAACCCTGAATTTTCATTTTAAACTATGGAAATGCCGTTGACAGTGTCTGTCTGTTTTGAAACCATTTAAAATCCTCCGGAATGAAGACATTCCACGTATAAACGGCATCAACCGAAAATGAATGGTTTCTAAAATGACTATTTTTTCCGTAATTTGGAACGTGCTTTGAAATTTCAAACCACATAACCTTGCCAAAAATCATCAAATAATCGGGGTTTGGGGCAAATTTTCGAGTCTATAGCGTTGAATATCTTCTTCTCGCCGCCGGAAATTTAGGGCTTCACCACTCAAGAACTGATTTCTCAACGACACCGCATTGATTTCCTTTCTCATCGGAATTATTCCGGGAAGGGGGAAGAAAAATCCGCTTTTCCCGCCAAATGCATTCCATATGTGAACACCTGAAGATTATTGATTGGGTATACTGCATTATTCTAAGACCGGGTATCCAAAAAAAACAAAAAAGGAGGATTAAGCATGGCTCCGAGAAACTCTCGAGT